CTTACTGGTTTGGGGAATGTGAATACGTTTTGTTTGTTTTTTTCCAGTTGTCTTATGAAAAATGAAGATTCAAAATCCAAATGTCTCAAATGCTGGTGTATTGAACTCAGTTGTAAAAAAGATACAGAGTTACAGCCAAATATCAAAAATTGTTCATAATACCAAAAAAAAGGCATTTTCTCTGTCCACTACCTGATATGTGAAATAGAAAAATGCCCATCAGTGTTAAGGATGAATGCCAAAGAGGATAAAAAATTGAGAACTCTTCATACTTACTATGTGCAAGTGTCCAGGTAATAAATCAGTGCTGATGGATTAGCACCATCATACAGAGACACATGCCATTTTAGTTAAAAGGATTTAGGGTGGTTCTTGGCCCTAGAAACTTTAATCCTATGGCTAATATTGAGAGTAACAATTATCTGAAGATTAAAAAAAACTCATTAAGAACATCTTTAATTTAAATAGAAAGTAGGCATTAAGCATGTACTTTTGTTTGTTTCCTAAGAAGATAGATTTGTATAATATTTTTTGAAAATATGATGGTTAACAATTCATCTATTTGACAATTTAAAATTTCACTGAGTTAACAAGGTAAAATTTCCTAGGAATAATATAATACTTTTAATTAAAACAATAAATATGAGAAATGTAGCACATGTAATAAAACAAAGGTTCAAATTTTTACCATTCATTTAAAAAGTAAATTTTAGGATATGGTGTATGTAAATATCCATTTAATAGTGTATTTGATATATTTGCTGACATTTGCCTTCTCTATAACCCCTGGGATTTGAGTCCAAGTTAATCATACAGTGTCCCAGTGATTATGGCCACAAATTAAACTTGACTCTCTTCATCACCCTTACATAGTTCCCTACCAGGAACAAGCTCCGTATCACCTGCCAGTTTATAGCCCACCTCTTTCTATCTTTGTCCTGCTGACAATAAATCCCCTCGCCAGTTAATTGAACAGATGTACCCAGTGCCGCTTCCTGAAGATCCTCAAAGCCAGGCTTTGATGGACAGTTTAGAAAGTGGCACAATAAAATAACAAAAGCCTTTTAACTGAGAGCACTGCTTTGTTCTGCTTAGAACGTTAAGGTCACTCCAGCTCATTCTGATCCTGGGGATCTTAATTTTTACTCAACCAATTTACTTGCATCTGTCATTCTTTCCAGTATTAAAAGTTCAGCTCTTCAAGTGTGGGGAATTGGGGGGATGGTTGTGTTGGGAATGAGAAGAGCTTGTTACAAACTAAAAATGGCAAAAACAAGTAAAATCTGGCTTGGCTCTCAAGTACAAAAAGTTATTTTCAAAGCCTATAAATTATGACATAGTGATTAACATGTAATTTAAATATATTTAAACAACAATTATATCACATTTCCAGCCCAGCTAATTGGCCTCACAGATGTTCCCTTGTAGATGCATTGCCCTTCCAGGGAGATATGAATGAGGTGCTTTTTATCATGGAAAACAGAAAAAAAATGGAAACAGAAACATAAAAAGCAGCCAGTAACCCTAAAAACAATGAACACTAAGGGGACTTTGCTTAGCAATTTTTCCCATTTTAATGGTGAAAACTAGGAAGAACATGAAGACACTCTTATTACTGTGATGATATCTGGCAGTGTGTCCAGAAGCAGAGTTGGCAGGTTGCTGATGGAAAGACTTATTAATGCAGGACAGTGGATGCATTCAAATAAAGCATGGCCACACTTCCTGTCTTGGAACACACTAACTGCAAGAGGTCTAGTTATTTTTAATATGATGCCTTTACAATTGAAAATGGCCTAGCCCAGATAATGAATATAGATAATAAAGTATTTCATGATGAAGAATGACTTGTAAGTTATTCTTTTGATCATTTATCTCTCAAGTTTTATAAAATGCTAAACATGTAGCAGGCAGTGTTATTTTTTCAACCACAATCAAACATAACCCAGTATAACAGCTCTTGCAAATAAGAGGTCAAAGGAACACTGGTGATTATGAATACTTTGAAATACTTTGCCTTTTAAGATGTAATCATAGAATTGAAATAAATTCACTCCAACCTCACTTTACTCTTGCTTTTTTCTTTCAGCAATCTCAGGAAATGTTTGATCGTACAATGTAAACTGGGAAAGGCACTGGCCAAGCCTGTCCTAGTATATCACGATATCTCCAGCATCTAATGTAATCCCTATGCTTTTATCATAGAAATTGAACAAATATTTACTAAATGCTTGCCAAATAATTCAAGTTTAATGAAAGGGTAAAGCCAAGATTTGTAATATGATAAAGTACCAGCAGGCAGGTATCATATTTTTGTACCAGCTATTTTACATATCACTGGATTACATGGAAAATTTCTTTTTCACATTTATGAACAAATGAATTAGATTTCATAACTTTCTGAAAGATAGCAAAATATATTTCAAGTGATGTGGAAGACAGGTAAGCAGTTAAAAATGCTCTTTGATGAGAAGTCTTGGCAGTTTGATTGCCTGACTTAAAAAATCTGATTTAGCAGGTGTGGACATTTAAATTTTATATATCCTCTACATTTGTATAATAGTGCAGAGCTTACAAAGTTTATTTATATGTAAAATGGATTATTTCTCCATTAAGAATAGGTATCTTCATTAAGAATAAAGTAGAGAGGCCAAGGATGAAAATGAAATATTTCATGATTGACCACATCACTTATAATTGGGACTGGAGCTCAATCCCAACAATACCATACAACAATCTGTCTACTCTACAAAGCTCCTCCTATGCATTGCATAACAAATATATCCAAATTTCCATGTTATAATCTTCAGTGTGTTGTTAGTTATGTTACTACAGAAAGAAAGAGATAAATATTTTCTATACCATTATGTAAGTGACTCAGTTATGGGCAGAGTTAAAATCTAAACTCAGTGTAGGTGTTCAGAGCTTGTTCCCTTAAGTTCAGAAGACTCAGTTAAGGAAAATTCTATTATCTAGTTGCTATTAATTTGTATTGAACCGTTAATCTCTGTGGAACCATATTCTTAGGTTGTTCTGTCAATCTATAAATTATAAAAACATCGACCTGGAATAAGATTTAGCTCTGTTTTATAGATGTTCCAAGATATTGTCTTTGAGGTTTATTTTAGTCATCTCTGTTCACTTAAAGCCAGAAGGTACAGAATGAAAAGTTCACAAAACCAACTGTTTTTTCTTCATTATTCATTATTTCAAGTGCCTCAAAAAGTGCCTTGTGCAGACACAGACAGTGGTTTCTCAAGAAATGTGTTTAATAGATGACTGGTATTTTTCAATCATTTTGAAACAGAACTGGCATTCATATGTCTTCTGTACTTAGCCTAAAGAAAGTTATCTTTAATATTTTCTCATATTTTTATATTGACTTTTATTTAGCCCATAGGTTAGAGTTGTAAGCCATAAGAATATGTCTTTTTGTTTTTTTTCCTAATTGCAATCTAATTTCAACTGATTCTAAATACATAAAAGTAATGTATGTAAAGCATGTTTCCAGGAAAGAAACCAATTTTTCAAGATTTTCTGCTGTTTGTTCACTTAAAAAAAGACTAATGAGAAAATATTATTTACCCTTTCTATAAGGAAAGGTTGAGAAGCTGACCCTTAGCTGAAGTGGTAAAGAATAAATGTAATTTGATAACAGAAATTATTCCAAGAAAATTGAAATCCACTTCTATCTCTTTTTAGATAAACTTGTTATAGGAGAAAAGTTAATGTGGTGATATGTGATCATTCCAGTCACCTAAAGTATAACAAAGGAAAGCATCCCTTGTTTATAACTCTAGTTTATTATTTACTGCTTTTCCCTTTCTTCCAGGGTTCATCAGAAGAATATTTATTGTCAACATAATTTTTAATGCATTTAAAATTTTTCTTTTTAATTTTCCTTTACAGGGATTGAATTATATATAGTATCCTCAAAATATATAAATAAACTTTCTTGAGATCAGAATACATAAAATTTTACTGTTTAGCAAACATCACTGTTGTGCATGTGTTCCCTTTTGGTTCACACAACTCATGTGGCTTTTCTTTTTCTTTTCTTTTTTTTCCATTCATATCACCTCTTATTATATCCATCATTCCATTTTTCTTTCCTATTAGAGTGAAATTGGACACAGCCCTCCTCCTGCCTACACCCCTATGTCAGGAGTAAGTATTTCACAATCAACCTTCATCTTTTAGGATTTTTAGTCTTTGCCTACCATATTTCCTCTCTCTTGTCTCACCATAATTTCCTCATTTTGCCTTTGCCAACAGTGAGTTAAGGATTTACTGTAGCTTGTGTAGCTGCCTATGTAGATATGTTTTATCTCAGTAGATAATCCAGAGCTGAGATATCATGCATCTACAGTAGCTTTTGATTTTCATCTGAAAAATTTACCTGGGCTCATACATTATGCTTGTGGATGAGGAGGTTATCTTTATTTCCATGATTATAGGTCATGTGCTAAAAAGTCAGAATTTTGGTGATGATTTTCCAGTTATGTACTATAGACTCAAAATTATAGTAACAACAGACTAGAAGGCAATAAGGAACTATCACTATTCAAATTTCATCACTGTGCTTCTGTTCATAATGGCAACTGCCTATAGTTAATGACATTGCCATTTGTCTTGAAAATTCACTTTGAATTTTTATTTATTTATTTTTTTTTTGAATTTTTACATTAAAAATAGGCAGTTGTGGGAAAGAATATGAAACACTTTTTATTAGACCATGTGTTAGGTGGTTAGTAAAACTAAAACATATATTTCCAAATTGTTTTCCCACAATTAATTTACATTATAGGACAAAATTGGAATTTTAGGTGTTCTAGTCTGTAACTCAGACTCATTAACTATTGGGGGGAAGAAAACACTTAATAAACTCTGACTTTGCTGTGATAGATAAACTTCTGTATTCTTTTGGTTATTAACATCCATATTTTTGATCGCTGTTCCTCCCCATAACTTTGGTCCAAATGTGTTCCTACTATTGACAGAACCAGTTTGTCTACCGAGACGGGGGCTTCGCTGCAGAGCAAGGAGTACCCATGCCCTACAGGGCCACCACCAGCACAATCCCAGAAGCCCCCATTGCTCAGGGGGCCACCGCAGAGATTTTTGATGACTCCTGCTGTAATGGCACCTTACGCAAGTCCGTGGCACCCCACGTCCAAGAAGACAGCAGCACCCAGAGATACAGCGCTGACCCCACAGTCTTTGCCCCAGAACGGAGCCCACGAGGAGAGCTGGATGAAGAAGGTTACATGACTCCTATGCGAGACAAACCCAAACAAGGTACAAGCAGAATGCTCAGAAATGATTGCCATTTGACATTTACTTTCATCACCATAAGCACAGTGTAGAAGGGAAATTGCCAAACCATTTGCTTGTGTAACATTTGTGACCCATAAAAGGCCTAGACACTGCTTCTCCTAGTAGGCTAACTGAATTAACAGCATCCGCATCATCTAGGGGCTTTTTTAGAAACTGGAATCTCAGACCTCACTTGATTAGGAATCTGCATTTGAACAAGATCCCCAGGAGACTTTTATGCACAATTAAGCTTGACGGACAGGGAGGCCTGGCATGCTGCGATTCATGGGGTTGCAAAGAGTCAGACACGACTGAGCTGAGCGACTGAACTGACTGACTGACTGAAGCTTGAGAAGCACTGATAGAAACATAACTTTATTGGAATATTTAAATGAGGTAGCATATCACAAGATTTCAGAACCCTTGCTCCACTGATGATCATAAAAACTGGTATTATTGGTAAAAGTGTCCAAAGCTTTTGATGGCACCAATAAAAGATTTGATTGATACATTAAAATGGTGTCATTTAAATGACCTGGCTCATTATAGGAAATTATGACTTCTGATAGGGTACATTTCAAAAATTAAAGTTCTGTCCCTCCATATACTTATATGTATACCATCACATCTTGAAAATATTCATAGTTTATGGTTTTAGGAAGCACAGCAATAACTTTACAAAGTTAGTAGTAGGACTGTTAAATATCCAAATAAATTTCAATTTTGAAAAAACCTCTTTATGTTAACAGCATCAGAAAAAAGAGAAGATGATGTTATTAATAACTGATGGCTGTGTCCCAGAGTCTTCAGTGTCACAGTAAATTATATTTTAAGACTCTGTATGAAGGTCCTTTATCTCCCTTAATATGTAGTTATATTCACTTTTGTAATATGCAGTTAAGGCATCACTAAGTACATATTATCAATAACCTATTAAAATATATCCACTTCCATACATATGAAAGTATTACTGTAATGAAGAACTGGATGTTTGAGTAGCCCAGTAGTGACACAAATGTAGGTTTTGGGAAGATTTGACAGATCCTTCAGAAAGTGGAATGTTCCCTGGGAAGATTCTCAACTCAACCATAAAACTATTCCTGTCTACAGAACCACATGGCTATACAAGTTTGCATTAGGACAACAGATAAGCAGATTGCATTGAGAAAAGGTACCTTGAACCTTCCAAGAGAAAAGCAAGTCAGTCTGTGTAGACTTACAGTAGGTAGACCATCCCCAGATTTTATCTCTGTATACTAAGAAACCCACATTTCTGTAGAAGGTTATTCTATTCTAGCCCAGTTCTCAGAGAGCAGATAATTTTAGTATAGACATACCTATATTTTCAATGGAGAAATTTCAGGAATCTGGTAGGAGAAATCCAATTCTGACTCCCTTATAAGTTTTTTTATATATATTTTTCTTAAAATGTCAGTAGCTTTGAGACCCATTCAAATTAAAACTTGTGATGAAGTGTAAAGTTCAACCTACTCCTATAAGGGCAACAGTGAAAACCATACCATAGAACAACAAGATCCTTCAACATGAGTTAGGGAATTTGAATTCTAGTTCAACACTAATTGTATCCTTCATACATCATTTAATGTCAATTTTCTGTCTATAAAGCTGGAAAAATACAGCTTGCATGCCTTTTTCACAGGATTGTTGTGAGGCTGAAGTGATAGTGCCTTGTAAGATACTGAACTGTAATCTGTGAATTTGATGGTAGGATGTTCATTATTATTATTACTTCAGTGCTCAGTCATGTCCAACTCTTTGTGACCCCATGGACTGTAGCCCACCAGGCTCCTCTGTCCATGGGATTTTTCATTACTGTCTCTTAACTTTCATATGATACTAAATAGTTAACTATATCCAACAGTTCTATATCCAGGGAAAAATAACCCTGGATTGATAAGATTTTTCTCTCTATGTGTCAAGTTTATTATGGGGGATAGGAAGTTTGTTTCAGAATGATAGTATCTCAACAAACAGGCCCTCTTCCTACCCTGACACCAAAATAGGAATAGCTAAAGTGTCATTTTTGTGCATATATTTAAAGAGAGGATATGCTACATATGTGTAAGAAAAGAAAGTGAAGTCGCTCAGTCATGTCAGATTCTGCGACCCCGTGGACTGTAAAGTACCAGACTCCTCCATCCATGGGATTCTTCAGGCAAGACTACTGGAGTGGGTTGCCATTTCCTTCTCCAGGGGATCTTCCAGACCCAGGGATCGAACCCGGGTGTCCAACACTGCAGGCAGATGCTGTACCCTCTGAGCCACCAGGGAACACACATATGTGTAGATTTGTCTATATAGAGTCTACACAATAAACAGAGGGGTAGAATTAAACTTGAGGGAAGCAGTATTAGCAACACTAAAAAAAAATTCTCAGCCAATCCCTATTCTAGATAAATTTATTATTTTGAATCATACAAAATAGCTGCTCTAAGACTGGTTTCAACCTACAAAAATAGCAATTTCATATGATTCAACTAATAGTTTGCTATCTTATGATTCAGTTCAGTTCAGTCGCTCAGTCCTGTCCGACTCTTTGTGACCCCATGAATCGCAGCACGCCTGTCCATCACCAACTCCCAGAGTTTACCCAAACTCATGTCCATCGAGTCGGTGATGCCATCCAGCCATTTCATCCTCCGTCGTCCCCTTCTCCTCTTGCCCCCAATCCCTCCCAGCATCAGGGTCTTTTCCAATGAGTTTCCAATGATTATGATTAGCCATTGGAAATAAATGTTACAATTATATTTATTGTTAAGCTTGTATATTTTCAAGCAAGTCAGTTTAAAAGCATGTTAGCTATTTATCTGATTTGATTAGCTGAGCCTTTTCCTTAGATGTTTTCTTTCCTGTGTGTTTATCTTTCTGAGGGAGCATCTATAATCAAACCCTGATTACTTATGCAGACATTCCCAGCAGATACATAGACTAAGAAACACTATTCTTTCACTTCATTCATTCATTACAGCGTGGAGATAATCTTGATTTTCCAATACTATTTTTAAAATTCTCACTTCTCCACAGTTAAATGCTATTTAATCCTGATAGGCTGTTTTATTTTCTAACAGAAATGACTAACTTCTAAAAAGCAGAAGCATTTAAACAACGGGCCACATGTGTAGGAGTGTGAGTCGCTCAGTCCTGTCTGACCATTTGCGACCCCATGGACTGTACCCCGACAGGCTCCTCTGTCCAGGGACTTCTCCTGGCAAAAATACTGGAGTGGGGTGCCATTTTCCTTCTCCAATATGTAGGAGAGACAAATATAATTAGAAGGAAAGAAGAGCGTCTAGGGGACAGGAACTCTGACGTTGGCCCTGTCGGTGCCTTGTTTTCTCACTAACATTTTTTGCCCACTTACTCCTCTTTCCTATGACAGTTGTAATCAACAAAATAGTTTTGGGGAAAATTCATGAAACCCGTGGCTTTGCTGTTCTGGAAAAGGAAACTAACCGTCCTGTATAACCGTGGCCGGAATTACATTTTCCGGAAAGTAGATGTTAACTGATCCTTTTGTATTCCGTCAGAATACCTGAACCCTGTGGAGGAGAACCCTTTCGTTTCTCGGAGGAAAAATGGAGAGCCTCAGGCTCTGGATAACCCCGAGTACCACAGCGCCTCCAGCGGGGCACCCAAGGCAGAGGATGCGCCTGTGAACGAGCCGCTGTACCTCAACGCCTTCGCCAACGCCCTGGGGAGCGCCGAGTACCTGAAGAACAGCGTGCTGTCTGTGCCCGAGAAGGCCAAGAAAGCGTTCGACAACCCCGACTACTGGAACCACAGCCTGCCCCCGCGGAGCACCCTGCAGCACCCGGACTACCTGCAGCAATACAGCACAAAGTATTTTTATAAACAGAATGGACGGATCCGGCCTATCGTGGCAGAGAATCCCGAATACCTCTCTGAGTTCTCGCTGAAGCCGGGCACTGTGCTGCCTCCGCCGCCCTACAGACACCGGAATACTGTGGTGTGAGCGCCGCAGCGGTTTCAGGCGGAGAGACACGGCCACACTCATTTCCCGCCGCCTCTCTCTCTCGTTTTCTTCCTTCTACTCCCAAGGCCAGTAGTTTTGACACTTCCCAGTGGAAGCTCTAGAGATGCAATGCTAATTTCGTGCTTATCTAACTTGAACATTAGAAGGAAGGACTGAAAGAGAAAGAGAGGAGGAACCACACTGTTTCTTCATTTGTCTGCATGGGTTGGCCAGGAGACTGGAACAGCTAGAAAAGGACACGCAAATAGGAGGCAGTACTGCCTGCCATCAAACTAGTTCTCAACGTTTCCCTTCCCCTTCCTCCCCACCTCCCCCCCCCCCATTTTTTTTCTCTTTTTATTCCTTCCTTTCCTTTCTTTCAAAGCAGATGCTTGAAAGATCCAAGCTATCTGTTCCTATCTGTAGGAACTGATGCGTATATTTTCAGCATCCCTGGTAATCCTTAAAGACGTTTTCAGTAGAACAAAACGATAACCTTTTCTATAATGTATGATAGTAACTTAAGATTGAAAATCCAAACTCTTTCTCCACCAGTTTCTGTCTTGACAAGCAAGAATGGCCAACTCAGCTTTCATGATTTTTGAATCTTCATCCAAGTTATAACCAGTAATTATGTTTGGGGAGCTTTTTTGTTTTATCACTTTGTTTTGCTTTGATCTGTCTCTTCATATTACTTTCTCCCTTATCTTCAGCTTTAATTTGTAATTGCAAAGATTTTTACATCAAACCTTCTTAGGTGTTGCTATAAATTGAAAGAATTGTAAAAAGAGATATTTTAATATGGTGAAATGGCCACTATTTTAAATATACAGTCTTTAAAATTAGAAGGGGAAGCCAAGGTATTGGTCAAATATAACATTAAATCTAACTTTTGTGTTTTACAGTATTGAATATGGATTCTCCTCCCTCCATTCCTTTATATTCTTCAACATTTTCTTCCCCTCTATGAAAGACAGTACTTGATAGGTAGTAATAATGTTAAGAATAGAAGGGAAACTAAGAGACAGTTATGCGTGGTTCATGAAAACTACTGACACTTTCAGGGGTGGCCCAATGGGAAATCCTTTGAACTGGAAGAAACACACTGGATTGAGTATGTCTACCTGGCAGATACTCAGAAATGTAGTTTGCACTTGAGCTGTAATTTTATTTGTTCTCTTTCTGAACTTCATTTTGGATTTTCAATGAAGCAATATGGAAGCAACCAGCAAAATAGTGCATTTGAGTACCTTTTTTTAAAGAGCTAAGATAAAGAAAGACTCTGGAAATACCAAATCAAGCAGTTAGGATTTTGGAACACTATCAGGGGATTATGGTAAAAGAGTCAGCACATGTTCCACATGTAATATCACATTTTCTACGTGAGGAAAGTTGTCCAGTTTGTACACTCCATTTGAAGGAATGCAAGTAAGGATTGGCTTAAATTCCATGGAATTTTTAGTATAAGACCCTTATTTATATTAAGTGGAAGGTAACTGTGCACATAAATTGGTATAACAAAAAGAAAGAAACAGTCAGTGCTTATAGATAGATCCTTGGGTTAAAAGTTGTAAATAAATGTGAAAAAAGTTTCTCACGTAATTATTTTAATACACAACATACTACCCTTATAATGCTTTATATGATAACTCTTTTTCTTCAGACAGCATCCTAGTTCTAGAGCCATCTTTATTGTGTATCATTTTGAAGAATACCTGTTGAGTTAAGGTGAGCAATAGAAACAAATGATAGGGTTGAATTTTTAGAAACTTCTAGGAAAATCTGCCCATTTATTTGGAATTTTGTAAAAAATATTTCTTTCCAGTGATAAGGTATTGGGAATTTGAATGTATCACCTGATATATTTAGGTGATAGTTTAGTTGCTAAGTCATGTCCGACTCTTGCGACCCTGTGGACTTTAACCCACCAGGCTCCTCCATCCATGGGATTCTCCAATCAAGAATACTGGACTGGGTTGCCATTTCCTTCTTCAGAATGTATCACCTAATTGAAAACAGACTAAAAATCTCCATGGGAAAGAGTAGAAATAAAATGACAAGAAATCTAGGTTTCTGCCTATTTTGAAAAAGTAAGTTTCTCCACCCATTCAGCTCCCTTATTTTTCAACTCATATTTATTTATAGTCTACTAAAAGCACTGTGTTATGTGGGGAACACCCAGATAAAGGCAATACTATACCTAACTTTAAAATTTTACAATTAAAATGTATTTGGAATGACATTTAATTTTTTTTATAATTCAAAGAATACAATTGCATGGACTCTTTTTTGAACAATCGTATAAAATCAGCTATTTGTTAAAAGATCTTCTGTGAACTCATCTGGGACATGAGTGAAACGTCCTACAAGTTACTGAAGGTAACACATAGCATAGTTTCAGTGTTATCATCCAAACCGCAAACTGGTCTAGAAGGGTATTGTGTCACTGGCTAAGTGTCATTTCCGGATTCTAACTTAACCATTAAATCAGCAATAGATGTTGGTCTTTGCCCAAGAACATTGGAGACATTGGGATTGATTTCTTCCAGAGTTATGAAAAGTGAGGGAAGCTAAAAGAATGAGGTCGAGTAAGGAGGGGTTTTATGAGAGCTCTTACAGTGAAGTTCAAACACGAATTTCCCAGGGGTGAAGACAGAATGATTCAGGGCCACAGCCTAAGAGCTCAGAGTTCTTCCACCCAGTCAGAGAAGTCTCCAAGAAAAGCAGTCCTCACATCATCATTTATGGAAGTTTAGATAGAAACCTCTTTTTCTAAATAAATCTGTACCAACTTATCACTGACAGTATCCTTGTTGGATGCTACAGCTTGACTTTTTCTCCTGATTTACGATATTCATATGGTTTGTGGGGTGGGGGTGGGGGGGTGGTGGGAAATGACAAGCAGAATCACTTAGAGAAGGAAAGAAAATTATTTTACTGTAAGGTAATAGAAATATATTCAGTAAAGGTAGTGTCCTCTTCATCCTAGGAACATAAGACTTTTACATAACAGGTACTAATAACTGGAGATAGATGCAAGTATATCCAAAATTACCTGAAATGCTTCACAAGAATCTAATTGTTCCTTTTGAATGATTTATCTAGTACATACTTAATTTCAATTGTTTTAGAGTTTCTCTTTTGTTTTATTTTTGTCCCCCAGGAAAACATATTTCAAAGTGTATGAGAGGGAGAAATAAAAAAAGTTTATTTGTTCCAAAGAATAACTTACTCGACTCAATAAAGTGAAATTTTAAAATGCCAATTAAAGCATTCAAAGTGCATTGGGATATCAGATTATTGCAGGCTAGTTGTATTAATGCAAATATGCAGAACCAATTAAATAAATTTGAAGAAAATAGTCAAATTACACAGACTGTATTTTTTTAAAATCATCAAATCTTGTAGCTTAGACCTATCTTGGGGAATCTTATTTCTAGGTAAGAAAAACTGTATAACTGTTTGTTCAGGGCAGTAGTTCTTAGATAGGTAAGAAAAGATGTCCTCTAAACCAAGGTAGACCCAAAACCACAAAGCATCCTGAACCACAAAGAGGTGCTTGAACTACTGAATAACAGTTGATTTTCCAAATACTAGTGGCACAGTTGAGGAGCAGAGTTCTTTCTCGGGTAATATTCTTGCCATGGAATAAAAAATCAATGCAAAACTCAAATCAGATTAAAATGTATAAAGTAAAAATTTGAGATTCTTTTCTTAGTAGATCAGGAAAAATGAATATTTGTAGCTGGAGAGGAGAAATAGTGTTATTTTAAGTGTATAATGTAAGTGTTAATACCTTGTAAATCAGGACTTGGCATGAAGATCATGTATATTTCCAATGCCTAGGACAAACCAGCAGGACTGTGAGGTTCTGCTCGTAGATGAAGTTGGAAGGGTTATCAACATGCTTTTTGAAGTCTCAAAAAAAAAAAAAAAAAAAAAAAAGGAAATTGATTAAGCCTGACAGGGAAGGATGTAAATACATGTTTTTCTAGAGCTATCTAAACTTTATTTCAAAACTTGAATTATTCATCCATCTATAAATGTTGATTATTTAACTAGTATATGTAGTTCATAAGGTAATAGAAAAGGTGACCATGAACGCTTGTATATATCTGGGCAGAACCATGATAATGCTGTAAGATGTAGATTTAGTTAGGTTAACAGATGTTAAATGATTTTAATACTATTAAATAAATCAAACTAGGAAACTAATCACAAAAATAATGTAGCAAAATAAAATGCAGGATATGAAGACATAGGATGGATTTTGTGTAGTAAAAAAATGTCATTTAAATTTATTATTTGTTAGGTTTAGCTGAAAGTAGGCATATAAAAAGTGAGTTTCACTTATGAAAACTTGCTTTAAAGCATTACTATTATTTTCCCATTCTCTTATTCCTTGACTGCTTGTAAAATGTTTTCCATGTAAAGTGAAAATTTTCAGATTTGTTTTGCAAAACACCACCTTGTAGAGTTTAACAGGCAAATATGATACAAATGACTTTAAGTAAGAGGTTTCAAAATGAAGTGAAGGAAATGAAAATGTTCTATTACCTTATGCAGAGACAAAAGAATGAGTGGCACCATATAGCAAACAAACAAAATGCATTTCATTTGTGACATATCCTTTCTTTTTTCCATGATACGGTCCCATTTCCAAAAAGAACCCAAGGAATTTATTAACAATATTCTGAGAAATAAATACTAAAGCAAGCTGCTGTATTTCCATTATTTTGGACTCTAGTTAATAATCAGATAATTTTTAATAGGACCGATGAGAAATCCAGGTGGATAAGCTTCTAGTTGTTGAAAAACCAGAAAAGTAAATCTACTGTTTATGCTGAAGGCAGGGAATTCTGCCAGGACTCTCAGTACATATGGCCTTTGAAGGACAGTCTTGTACCCATGCAGACACTTAAAGGCAGACTCATATCTCCTGCCATTTGCTTAAGAAGGAATAATATTACAGAGATATAAACTGGACATCATTTTGAAGT